TTTTTGAATTGTTTTATTTATAGTATTGAATTATTTTCTTTTAACAAATTATGTTGATTTAAATTTCATAAATTAAATGTTTAAGCTTTCCGCTAAGGGTAAGGTTAATTCTATTAAGTCAACGGCTAAAGTATAGTTAATCTAGTGATGTTCCGATCCATGCGGGTCGGGGCGTTACAAGAAAGGTTCAGGAATCATCCGTGGGCATCGGGTAATCCTAAGTTAAGCCTCGAGACTCTTAAGTTATTTCCTTAGTTTGAACTTAGCTTTGAATAATGTCGAGTAGTTAGGGTAGCTCGAGAAGTTCGAGTGGTGGAGAGGACTTAGAAAACACAATAATCCCTATGGCCATTCCCCTTGACTCTCGACCTAGGGCTCAGGATAATGTGACCTTTACGTATCCCGATGAGGCCTGTAGGTTGAAAGAGCACTTGGCCATGGGGGCTGCTTGAGAGTATGGGATAATGCCTTTGTGTGAAATTAGATCACCCGACCTCGAGGATAGGATGGTGAGAGCTCGACCTCAAGGAGACCCTTAAGACTGGTTTTAGGTGGCCACTACACCCCTTCTTCACAGCCCTTTTGGTCGGGCATTTGATGTGCCCGGGGTAACTATTACCCAACGCCTGGAGGATGCCAGTGTATTTTTTCATAGCATGTAGATATTTAGGCTTCGAGCCTATGGTCGACCTTGCTAGGCTAGTCTTCGAGCTCAAGAAGTACACTAGGTATACGTACTTTGGGTATCTCTCGACAATGGGGGGTTCAGGGTCCCTAAGATGGCAAGTTCCCTGAAAGGTTGGAGGGATGGCTGGTTTTATGTATTAGCATCAGATCCCGATCTCCCTTTTTGGCCAGACCACGGTATCCCCGACGTCGAGAAGTTTTGTGAGGGTCAGGAGTACCCCGAGAATTTAGAGAAGGATAGGAAGATGCTGATCAAGCTCGAGCCTCTCTTCTCGAGCATGAAAGAGATCGGAGAGGAGGTGATAGGTTTAGCCGACATTAGAGGTCTCGAGGGTAGAGCTCTTCTCCTTGATTATTTGTTGAAAACTCGACCTGTATTCCCCGTTCTAAAGTGTTGTCTTATTTTCTAATTTCCAGGAATGTCGTTCAATCCCCAAGCCCTTCGCAACTTCTTGAGCACAAAGCCTTCAACACCTCCCAGGCCACGTCCCAAGTGAAGGAGAAGGGAAAGAAAATGCCTCGCGATCCATCGATCGAGCCACCTTCGAAGGCCCTCTTCCAATCTTTGACCTCGAGGACGACAATCTTCCTCCCATAGATGCTCTTGATGAAGACTTCGAGAGATTCCACCTTGTGCCAGACATCGTGGCCAAGTATAGGGATAAGGTCAAGCTGGAGGAGGGCTTGAGATCGCTCGAGATTTTTACTATGAAGGTAGACCCTTAGACCTGAATTTTGTTTAGGAAGCTCGACATATTTACTTATGCTTTTCTCCCTTTCGTAGACATTCAGCATGGCTTGAGGACTTACCTTCCAAGGGGTCGAGGAATCGTCAAGGGTGGCCTCGGTGGAGGAGTCTTCGGCCTTAAAGGACCGAAAGATTTATGAGCTTGAGGCGAAGCTTGATGCTTTGAAGAAACAGCGTGATGAGGCTAAATTCGAGGCCTTGAAGGTGCGAGATGAAGTTGGCATCGCGAGGGACGAAGTCGAGGAATTGAAGCTCAAACTCATGTACAAAAACAAAAAGTTCGAGGCTAAACTTGCCGAGACCAGGGAACGGGCTTCAGCGGAGGCCAAGAACGAGCTTGGGAAGAGTTCAAGGTCTCTGCGGAGTGCGACCAAATCAAGGGTGAATACTTCTTGGGGGCTTACCTCCATGCTTTCAAGGAGGCTCGAGCTTTTCTTCGCTCCAAGCTGCCCAACGTCATTCCTGAGGACTTGAATACAGTACTTGACATTGCAGGCAGTCTCGAACTTTCAGATTCTAATGATGCTGGCCCTGACGACGATGTAGACCTCGAGGAGGATGACGTGCAGATCGATATCACCAACCTTGATCCTCACCTAGGGCATATAGGATAGAATTTTTGTAATCAAATTTTTGATGTATTTTGCTCGACCATATTAATTATAATGAATGAGCTTTTGGCTTTTATAACTCTTGGTGAATGAGGTTTTGTATTTTATAACTCTTGAGTATCGAGCTCGAGGTGATAACGAGGCTAAAAAATGTTTAAAGTATTAGGATCGAGGATATGTATGGAACATGTTATTCCGATGGGTGGTTTTTGTGTACATTTATAGGCAATGACTCGAGCGCTTTCATATCCCGAGGAGTGATTTCATATCCCGAGGAGTGATTTCTCTGGGATACAATTAAGTAATGCCTCGAGCCCTTAGCCTACTACTCGAGCCCTTTCATACCCTAAGTAGTGATTTATATTGGACACAATTAAGTAATGACTTGAGCCCTTTCATACCCCGAGGAGAGCAAGGCTTAGTAGGGGCTTGCATGGGGCAATGCTTAAGTAATGCTTGCTAAAGGCAAGGCTTAGTAGGGGCTTGTACGGGACAAGGCTTAGTATTACTTGCTCGGGGCAAGGCTTATGTAATGCTTGCTCAAGGCAAGGCTTAAGTATTGCTTGCTCGAAGCAAGGCTTAGTAGGGGCTTGCTCGAGGCAAGGCTTAGTAGGGGCTTGCTCGAGGCAATGCTTAGTAGGGGCTTGCACAGGGCAAGGCTTAGTATTGCTTGCTCAGGGCAAGGCTTATAAGTGCTTGCTCGAGGCAAGGCTTTAAAAGTTTCATGATCGCAAATCGAACTGTTACTGGAATGTTTTTCTTGACGACTCAACAAAAAGGTAAATTCTGGCATACAGGCCAATCAACAAACTAAAAAGAATAACTTAGGCACGCAGGCCAACTAATAAAAAGGAACAATTTAGGCACGCAAGCTGACCTATCAATAAGATAACAACTTAGGCACGTTAGACGATTATTGGAGTAGATAACTTGGCACGGGGGTCATCAAGCAAACTAAAACTTGGACGTGGTCAGGAAAGTTACTTGTAATATATCTTCAGGTTTTCAGCGTTCCATGGCCTAGGGAGTGGTCTTCCCAAATAGTCCCATAAGCTGTAGGACCCTCTACGAACATTATGCACGACTTAGAAGGGCCCCTCCCAAATGGGTCCAATCTTTCCCAGGGCATAGCGATCGGCTTCAGCTCTTCTTAATACTAGATCGCATGCTCTGAACTTCCTAGGCCTGACCTTTTTATTGAAGTGTCTCGCTGTCATGTTTTGGTAAGAGGCTGTTCTTACAGCGGCATTTTCCTTTACTTCTTCGATGAGGTCGAGATGTTCATTTGCATGTTTGGAGGGCTCCGGTTTAAGTTTCTTGAGACTGGGCACATTGATTTCGACGGGGATTGTGGCTTCAATACCAAAAGCTAGGATGAATGGGGTCTCGCCCGTGGCCATTTTGTGAGATGTCCTATATGTCCAAAGTATAGAAGGCAAGTCATCGGGCCAATTTCCTTTGGCATCGCCAATCCTCTTCTTGAGGTCATGTAATATGATCTTGTTTGTGACCTCGGCAAGGCCATTACTCTGTGGATGGGATACTGATGTTAAGCGATGATGTATCCCAAGGTTGTTACAGAAGTTCCTGAATTGAGGATTGTCAAACTGTCTACCATTGTCCGTTATGAGGACCTTGGGTATCCCGAACCTGCATACAATGGACTTTCATACGAATGTCCTGAGCTTGGGCTCTGAAATAGTAGCTAAGGACTCTGCCTCTGTCCATTTGGTAAAGTACTCTACCGCCACCGCCACAAACTTTAACTGTCCTCTTGCCACAGGGAAGGGGCCTAGGATGTCAAAGCCCCACTGTTCAAATGGAGCACAAACACCGATGGTAGTGAGGTCTTTGGGAGGGCTATGGATGACATTGCCGAACCTCTGGCATTTGTCACATTTTTTGACGTATTCTGACGCATCTTTCTTTATGGTAGGCCAGTAATATCCATACCTTAAAAGTTTGAAAGCTAGGTCTCGAGTCTCTGGTGATTCTCGTAAACTCCTCTGTGATTTGGCCAGGGCTCGAGACGATTCTAATGGTCAAAGACACCTGAGATA